ACTGGTCTCTACCTGAGGCCTCGACATAACCATCCTTCACACTGACAAATCTCTTATACTCTTTGCTTAAGTAAATAGTAGTCATTACTACGTTATAATTAACTCTTCACTGACTATTCTTGACTATTGCCAATATAATTAAGTTCTATATATTAATATTTGTTAGTATTTCTTGGGAAGAGTTGTTGAATAGTGAAGTTGATGAAGTAGGCTGTGCAAGTGCAGAAAAATACAGGAAGGTTAATAGGCTATTACTGACGGTAAGGAAGGAATTCCATTACCCGCTGTGTGATAATGGCCTTTACTGCTTCAAGATTTTCCATTCAATATAATAATAATAGTGACCTGGGTGTTCCTGGTGAAACTATAAATAATAATAATAATAATAATATTGACCTGGGTGCTCCTGGTGAAACTATATATAATAATAATAATAATAATAATAATAATAATATTAATAATAATAGTGACCTGCGTGTTCCTGGTAAAACTATATAATAATAATAATAATAATAATAATAGTGACTTGCGTGTTCCTGGTAAAACTATATAATAATAATAATAATAGTGACCTGGGTGTTCCTGGTGAAACTATATAATAATAATAATAATAGTGACCTGGGTGTTCCTGGTGAAACTATATAATAATAATAATAATAGTGACCTGGGTGTTCCTGGTGAAACTATATAATAATAATAGTGACCTGGGTGTTCCTGGTGAAACTATATAATAATAATAATAATAGTGACCTGGGTGTTCCTGGTGAAACTATATAATAATAATAATAATAATAGTGACCTGCGTGTTCCTGGTAAAACTATATAATAATAATAGTGACCTGGGTGTTCCTGGTGAAACTATATAATAATAATAATAATAGTGACTTGCGTGTTCCTGGTTAAAACTATATAAAAAATAATAAAAAATAGTGACCTGGTGTTCCTGGTGAAACTATATAATAATAATAATAATAGTGACCTGGGTGTTTTCCCGGTGAAACTATATAATAAAAAATAATAATAATAATAGTGACCTGGTGTTCCTGGTGAAACTATTAAATAATAATAATAATAGTGACCTGGGTGTTCCTGGTGAAACTATATAATAATAATAATAATAATAGTGACCTGGGTGTTCCTGGTGAAACTATATAATAATAATAATAATAATAATAATAGTGACCTGCGTGTTCCTGGTAAAACTATATAATAATAATAATAATAGTGACCTGGGTGTTCCTAGTGAAACTATATAATAATAATAATAATAATAGTGACTTGCGTGTTCCTGGTAAAACTATATAATAATAATAATAATAGTGACCTGGGTGTTCCTGGTGAAACTATATAATAATAATAATAATAGTGACCTGGGTGTTCCTGGTGAAACTATATAATAATAATAATAATAGTGACCTGGGTGTTCCTGGTGAAACTATATAATAATAATAATAATAGTGACCTGGGTGTTCCTGGTGAAACTATATAATAATAATAATAGTGACCTGGGTGTTCCTGGTGAAACTATATAATAATAATAATAATAATAATAATATGACCTGCGTTTCCTGGTAAAACTATATAATAATAATAATAATAATAGTGACCTGGGTGTTCCTGGTGAAACTATATAATAATAATAATAATAATAATAATAGTGACTTGCGTGTTCCTGGTAAAACTATATAATAATAATAATAATAGTGACCTGGTGTTCCTGGTGAAAAATATATAATAATAATAATAATAATAGTGACCTGGGTGTTCCTGGTGAAACTATATAATAATAAAAATAATAGTGACCTGGGTGTTCCTGGTAAACTATAAATAATAATAATATAGTGACCTGGGTGTTCCTGGTGAAACTATATAATAAAAAATAATAATAGTGACCTGGGTGTTTCCTGGTGAACTATATAATAATAATTAAAATAATAATAGTGACCTGGGTGTTCCTGGTAAAACTATTTTAATAATAATAATAATAGTGACCTGGGTGTTCCTGGTAAAACTATAATAATAATAATAATAATAGTGACCTGGGTGTTCCTGGTGAAACTATATAATAATAATAATAATAATAATAATAATAACAATAGTGACCTGGGTGTTCCTGGTGAAACTATATAATAATAATAATAATAATAATAGTGACCTGGGTGTTCCTGGTGAAACATAATAATAATAATAATAGTGACCTGGGTGTTCCTGGTGAAACTATATAATAATAATAATAATAATAATAGTGACCTGGGTGTTCCTGGTGAAACTATATAATAATAATAATAATAATAACAATAGTGACCTGGGTGTTCCTAGTGAAACTATATAATAATAATAATAATAATAATAATAATAATAATAGTGACCTGGGTGTTCCTGGTGAAACTATATAATAATAATAATAATAATAATAGTAATAATAATAATAGTGACATGGGTGTTCCTGGTGAAACTATATAATAATAATAATAATAATAATAATAATAATAATAGTGACCTGGGTGTTCCTGGTAAAACCGTAACCTAGGAACCTCTCATCATGGGGAGGAACATCGTCTCTGGCCACGTAGAAAGGCTCGTAGAAGAACTCGAAGTTGGTGACGTCGTGACTGACGGTGACACGACCCTCCGATGGTTGCTCTAGTTCCCGGGCCTCCCACCTGCAACACCAATATTGGTTTTACTAATTTCTTAATGTACTTCTACTACTACCACCTCTAGTCATAATCATAATAATAATAATAATAATAATGCGTTAATAACTGTCTCTAAGGATCACTGGTTAGATTTGAAGCCTTTCGGCTGTAAGATGGTCATTAAAATTCCATATTACTCATATAACAGCAGTCAAGCGTACTCTAATCCCTATTAGAATAACCTGTGTATATATACTGAGATTTATGCTTCTCAGTGTATATACGCTGAGATATACACCTGAGTGCATATACTCTTGAGGTATACACCTCAGTGCTGAACTCTTCTCCAGGCTGAGGGACTGACCACCTCAAATATTTTATATCCGAGGTTGATGGACTGATACATCATCTTTATTTCACTACTAAACTTGTTACCTTTGTATATGACTGAAGAAGCCTACTGTGTAGGCGAAACCTTTCATCGATAGATACTTAACTGTTACACGTCTTAATTTTCAACACTAGGGTAATTAACGTACCTTGACACTTAACACCAGGGTAATTAACGTACCTTGACACTTAACACCAGGTAATTAACTTTACCTTGACACTTAACACCAGGGTAATTAACGTACCTTGACACTTAACACCAGGGTAATTAACGTACCTTGACACTTAACACCAGGGTAATTAACGTACCTTGACACTTAACACCGGGGTTTAATTAACGTACCTTGACATTTAAACACCAGGGTAATTAACGTACCTTGACACTTAACACCAGGGTAATTAACGTACCTTGACACTTAACACCAGGGTAATTAACGTACCTTGACACTTAACACCAGGGTAATTAACGTACCTTGACACTTAACCCCAAAGGGTAATTAACGTACCTTGACACTTAACCCAGGGAAATTAACGTACCTTGACACTTAACACCAGGGTAATTAACGTACCTTGACACTTAACACCGGGGGTTTAATAACGTACCTTGACACTTAACACCAGGTAATTTAAAACGTACCTTGACACTTACACTAGGGAATTAACGAACCTTGACACTAAACACCAGGGTAATTAACGTACCTTGACACTTAACACCAGAGTAATTAACGTACCTTGACACTTAACACCAGGGTAATTAACGTACCTTGACACTTAACACCAGAGTAATTAACGTACCTTGACACTTAACACCAGGGTAATTAACGTACCTTGACACTAACACTAGGGTAATTAACGTACCTTGAGCACTTAACACCAGGGTAATTAACGTACCTTGACACTTAACACCAGGGAAAATTAACGTACCTTGACACTAACACCAGATTAATTAACGACCTTGACACTTAACACCGGGGTAATTAACGTACCTTGACACTTAACACCAGGGTAATTAACGTCCCCTTGACACTTAACCCAGGGTAATTAACGTACCTTGACACTTAACACCAGGGTAATTAACGTACCTTGACACTTAACACTAGGGTAATTAACGTACCTTGACACTTAACACCAGGGTAATTAACGTACCTTGACACTTAACACCAGGGTAATTAACGTACCTTGACACTTAACACCAGGGTAATTAACGTACCTTGACACTTAACACCAGGGTAATTAACGTACCTTGACACTTAACACCAGGGTAATTAACGTACCTTGACACTTAACACTAGGGTAATTAACGTACCTTGACACTTAACAACCAGGTAATTAAGGGAAACCTTGACACTTAACACTAGGGTAATTAACGTACCTTGACACTTAACACTAGGGTAATTAACGTACCTTGACACTTAACACTAGGGTAATTAACGTACCTTGACACTTAACACTAGGGAAATTTAACGTACCTTGACACTTAACACTAGGTAATTAACGTACCTTGCCACTTAACACTAGGGTAATTAACGTACCTTGACACTTAACACCAGGGTAATTAACGTACCTTGACACTTAACACCAGGTAATTAACGTACCTTGACACTTAACACCGGGGAAATTTTAACGTACCTTGACACTTAACACCAGGGTAATTAACGTACCTTGACACTTAACACCAGGGTAATTAACGTACCTTGACACTATAACACCAGGGTAATTAACGTACCTTGACACTTAACACTAGGGTAATTAATTACCTTGACATTTAAACACCAGGGTATTAACGTACCTTGACACTTAACACCAGGGTAATTAACGTACCTTGACACTTAACACCAGGGTAATTAACGTACCTTGACACTTAACACCAGGGTAATTAACGTACCTTGACACTTAACACTAGGGTAATTAACGTACCTTGACACTTAACACCGGGGTTAATTAACGTCCTTTGGGACACTTAACACCGGGTAATTAACGTACCTTGACACTTAACACCAGGGTAATTAAACGTACCTTTGACACTTAACACCAGGGTATTTAACGTACCTTGACACTTAACACCAGGGTATTAACGTACCTTGACACTTAACACCGGGGTATTTAACTACCTTGACCTTAACACCACGGGATAATAACGTTACCTTGACACTTAACACCAGGGTAATTAACGTACCTTGACACTTAACACCGGGGTAATTAAACCCGTACCTTGACACTTAACACCAGGGTAATTAACGTACCTTGACACTTAACACTAGGGTAATTAACTTACCTTGACACTTAACACCAGGGTAATAACGTACCTTGAACTTAACACCAGGGTAATTAACGTCCCTTGACATTTAAACCCACCAGGGTAATTAACGTATCTTGACACTGTAACACCGGGGTTAAATTAACGTACCTTGACACTTAACACCAGGGTAATTAACGTATCTTGACACTTAACCCCCAGGGTAATTAACGTACCTTTGACACTTAACACCAGGGTAATTAACGTACCTTGACACTTAACACCGGGGTTAATTAACGTACCTTGACACTTAAACACCAAGTAATTAACGTACCTTGACACTTAATACCAGGGTAATTAACGTACCTTGACACTTAACACCAGGGTAATTAACGTACCTTGACACTTAAACCGGGTTTAAATTTTAACGTACCTTGACACTTAACACCAGGGTAATTAACGTCCCCTTGACACTTAACAACTAGGGAATTAACGTACCTTGCCCACTTAACACCAGGTAATTAACGTACCTTGACACTTAACACCAAGGGTAATTAACGTACCTTGACACTTAACACCAGGGTAATTAACGTACCTTGACACTTAACACCGGGGTTTAATTAACGTACCTTGACACTTAACACCAGGAAATTTAAACGTACCTTGACACTTAACACCAGGTTAATTAACGTACCTTGACACTTACACCAGGTTAATTAACGTACCTTGACACTTAACACCAGGGTAATTAACGTACCTTGACACTTAAAACCAGGGTAATTAACGTACCTTGAAAACTTAACACCAGGGTAATTAACGTACCTTGACACTTAACACCAGTGTAATTAACGTACCTTGACACTTAACACCAGGGTAATTAACGTACCTTGACACTTAACACCAGGGTAATTAACGTACCTTGACACTTAACACCAGGGTAATTAACGTACCTTGACACTTAACACCAGGGTAATTAACTTTACCTTGACACTTAACACTGGGGTAAATTAACGTCCCTTGACACTTAACACCAGGGTAATTAACGTACCTTGACACTTAACACTGACGGCAATTAAAATAAAGTGTCGAGGCCTCAACTCTCACTTGACATTTAATTCACTTCAGTGTTGAACACCTGGCAAAAGTTGCAGTAGTTTCCAGAAGCAGTGGTGGCACCAGCAGCAGTGGTGGCACCAGCAGCAGTGGTGGCACCAGCAGCATGGTGGCACCACAGCAGTGGTGGCACCAGCAGCAAAGGGCGGGCACAGCAGCAGGGGGGCCCACCACAGCATGGGGGCACCCAGCAGCAGTGTGGCACCAGCAGCAGTGGTGGCACCAGCAGCAGTGGGGGCACCACAGCATGGGGCACCACACAGCAGTGGCGGCACCAGCGCAGTGGCGGCACCAGCACATTTGGGTGGCACAGCAGCAGTGGGGGGCACCAGCGGGCAGTGGTGGCACCAGCAGCAGTGGTGGCACCAGCAGCAGTGGCGGCACCAGCAGCAGTGGCGGCACCAGCAGCAGTGGTGGCACCAGCAGCAGTGGTGGCACCAGCAGCAGTGGTGGCACCACCCCAGTGGTGGCACCCCGCAGTGGTGCACCAGCAGCAGTGGTGCACCAGCAGAAAGTGGTGGCACCGCAGCAGTGGTGGCACCAGCGGGCGGGTGGCGGCACCAGCAGCAGTGGCGGCACCAGCAGCATGGTGGCACCAGCAGCAGTGGCAGCAACAGCACAGGGTGGCACCAGCATGAAATGGGCGGCACCACAGCAGTGGTGGTACCAGTAGCAGTGGCGTCACCAGCAGCAGTGGTGGCACCAGCAGCAGTGGTGGCACCAGCAGCAGTGGTGGCACCAGCAGCAGTGGCGGCACCACAGAAAGTGGGGGGCACCGAGCAGCTGGCGGCACCAGCAGCAGTGGCGGCACCAGCACCGCAGCAGTGGCGGCACCAGCAGCAGTGATGGCACCAGCAGCAGTGGAGGCACCAGCAGCAGTGGCGGCACCAGCACCAGCAGCAGTGGCGGCACCAGCAGCAGTGGTGGCACCAGCAGCAGTGGTGGCACCAGCAGCAGTGGCGGCACCAGCAGCAGTGGCGGCACCAGCAACAGTGGCGGCACCAGCAGCAGTGGTGGCACCAGCAGCGGGTGGCGGCACCAGCAGCAGTGGCGGCACCAGCAGCAGTGGTGGCACCAGCACCAGCAGCAGTGGCGGCACCAGCAGCAGTGGTGGCACCAGCAGCAGTGGCGGCACCAGCAGCAGTGGCGTCACCAGCAGCAGTGACGGCACCAGCAGCAGTGGCGTCACCAGCAGCAGTGGCGGCACCAGCTGCAGTGGCGGCCCAACCAGTAGACAGTGGCGGCACCAGCAACATGGCGGCACCAGCAGCAGTGGTTTGGAAAC